CTAAGAATCTAACTTTTTTTATAACTGCTAAATGTTTCCTAATTAAAATAGCTAAATAATTAATAAAATACACCTCTAGTTAAAAAATATCTTTAAACTACCCTATAATATAAATACTGTATAACTAGTGATATGTAATTATTTATTTTTAACAGCTATAGTAGCTATTTAGCTACTAAATTTACTAGTTTCTATAAATGGAATATAATAACCTATCTCTATATATCTATCTATACTTTATTTTTTTGACTATTTAATATATATATTTTTCGACTATTTGAAAAAAAGTGTGAAAAACCTCTTAAAAACTATATAACTATTAGTAATAATTATATTAATGAAACCTTTCTTCATTCTAAATGTATATATGTGTAAATTTTTACTATAGCTAATATTTATAATAATTTTACAGAAATAGAGCTAAAACTACTTAATCTAGAGTATATTCTCTTTATAGTTATTTTTTAACTATACAAATCTACACCACTACTAGTTAAATATTTAATTTTCTCTGCTTTTTATATTCTATAGAATATTTATTAGCTAGATTAAAAGGTCTAAAGCCTACAGAACAGCCTCAATAAAAATAGTAACTTTCTAGTAATTCTATTAGATATATTTACTATCTTAAAAGTGATATAAATCTAGTAATTTTTAAAGTAAGAAATTAGAGTTATATATACTAGAAATAGAGAATAATATAGAAAGATAAGAAAATACATTAAGACAGATAATAACTGTTTTTGAATATATAAAAAAATATAAAGAATATTTGATTACTTAATATACAGCTCAATAAACAGCCTATAGAATTTAAATTAGCGCCTTGTCGATAAGCACTATAATACCATAATAAATATAGGATAGTTAGATATATAATTTAAAATTGCTCTAGGTTGATAGCTATGATTTTATATATTTTATTAGTTAGATTTAATAGCGTTAGTAATTAAAAAGATTAAATTTTCATCTGAATACTGGAAAATTAGATTACTTGTCCGTGTGGACCACTCACCCGTTAAGAACGCTAAATAATAACTTTAGAACTTATTAATCTAACGTGTAAGACTTTTTAAATATATATGTTGTTATAGAGTGCTTAAGGTTTTTATACTATATAGATTACCGTAGTTATAGTATTTTAATATACTTGAATTTATGGAGCTTTTATAATTACTAATAGTTCCTTTTTGGATTAGATGGTTTATTCCGCTAAATTAAGCTTTCAGCTATTATAAGCTATTAAATTTTCTACTGTTCTCTCCGTTCTATAGTAATAGTATATTAATCACTTACTCTAAAGTATCGGTAGTATTCTAGTAAGTTTTGATAAATATATATTTCAAAGGTTTGGCGCAGCAATAGAATCCATTGAAGATACTATAGATATTTCTCTGTAGTAAAGAATGTTAAGATATTATTAAACATACTATACACAACTGCTAATTATAGTATTATAATATTATTTATTAGTATCTTAAAATATTATAAAAGAGGTATAAAATCCGGATAATATTACAAGAGGGTTAAACTTTTTAATGTTAGTATTAGGCGTAGTTAAAAATAAATAGCTTTTTTTATCTATATTTACTAGTATTTAAAGAGAAAATCAATTTCTTAATTATTCAGCATATCTCATATTAATTGAATTTAGAATATAAGGTAAAGAGTATTTATTTTTATATGTCTATTTGTTTAGGACGTAGTAGATAATATATATTTATCATAAGCGATTTGGCTTAAGTATAAGTAGTATGCAATTTTTTATAAGCTTATTATAATAATAAGCGAATAATTTCATCTAATAGTGCCTAAACTTGCTTTAATAATTTTTTTTAGCTTTTCTCCGCTAAAATAAAATATAGTCTAATAGTTATAAAAGCATCGCTAACAGAGATATTAAAAATAATATTCTAATAATTATATTAGCGGCAGCTTTTTGTAAAAAAATTAAATTCTATAATTAGCTACTTTACTATAACTACAACCTTTTTTATATTGGCTATAGGTTCATGTTCTTGTAAAAATAAAAAATTCGTTCTCCTGTCCTTAGGGTATATAAACCACTTAAGTATCTTACAGAAATAGTATTTAGTTATATCTCACTGCTAGGGATTCTTCACCGAATATTCGATAAATTAAAAATAACTTTTTAGTGGCCATAATTCTTTAGTAATATATAGTCCATTAATTAGTTAATCTAGAGATTTTAGCATCTTGCTAGTTTCTCACCAAAATAAGACCATAATCAGACAGAACTAGTATTAAGAAAAATATCGTTCCTTCATATTTATCTAACTGTACGGGATTATACAGCAGTAATAAGTTATAATGATATTTTTACTAGGGACTTGTCTAGTAATAAAACAGAGTTCAACCTGTTCCTAAATATTTACTATATTTCTTCCTACTTAAGACAAGATTTTTAAAACAGTAACTTACTTTAAAGTTAATTGAAATTTTATATGGCCTTTATAGAACCTATACTAGCTATATTTAAATATATAGAGGAGTTACTTTTAACAGTACCTAGATAAGATTATACCTATTTTCCCGCCGCGGGAAGGCTAGTGAATATATTATGTATTATTAGCCAAGCCCTTTTTTCTCCTTTACTACTAGATCTAGTAAATTTGAAAAAAGTAAATTTCTTAGAAGTTTTGTGTTTAAACTACTATTATCTTATATTTGGTAGTTCTAGCTGTTTTCTAACTAGGGGCGATATTTTTTAGATAATTCTTAATTTTTCTTTTCAATTTTCTGCTGTATATTTAACTATATCTAAAATAGGTATATAATTCGTAGTATTACTGCTTTTAAATAAGTAAATTCTTTGTAGAGTAGTTATTTACAACTGTTAGAGCGGACCAATCTCTAAGCTTAGTAGTACAGTCGTTAACTTGGGTATAGTAATATAGTCACTAGCTAGGGCGTTACGCTATTAATTCCGAGCGAAATATTATATAATTTTATCAAATGTTACTAGTTCGTAGATATTTTAACATCTATGGGCTATACTCTATAAGGCCGTATAAGCGCTGATAATAAACTTACCGGCTAGCATGTATTCTAGAAAAAGTAGCTAAATTAGTCAATAAAGTAAAGCTATTTCTTCGCGGTATTAGTTGCAAACTTTTATTATATAAAGAAAATTTCTTAAAGTCCGAGACCTTCTAATATAGACAACTCTTATTCTATTTCCATTAACTATTATCTGAATTAGTAGCGTTTACTTCTAGGATAAGGAGTTTTTGACATAACTATGGGAGCTGTTTAGTTAGTAAGGTACATTTGAATAGTCAAGTAGACTATAGTTTCTAATATATTATTATATTTTGCTTCCGCATTCTTTTCAGAAATATAGGTACGTAATCTCCGTACAAAAGAATGTATCTACTAGAGTAAGTATAGTAGTGATGAGAAATAATTTTAACTTAGGACGAAACATATCAAAATAATCTTTATAATATTTATTACCTCGAAATAGTCTTTTTTAAATAAGAATTTTGTTTTCAATCTTATTTTTATCTGACATTCTCTGTATTCCCATATTTCTCCACGTAAGTTAAACACTTTAATTATAAAGATACCTAGTAGATATAAGCTGAACTACGATATAAAAGATTGATCTTCTTAATTTATAGTCTAGTAGCCTTACACTATATAATCTAGACATGTAATATACTAGATATAGTATTAATATATAAATATACGTAGATTTGCTACTTGACGAATGGGTATTAACCATTTTTATGTCGAGCTCTTACTTTTCGAACTAGGTTCAGAGTGAGAATAGAGATTACCTATCTTTTAAAGTACATGCTGTAGTTGGTTTTTATATTACAGGGTTCGGTGGGTTCTTAATCTGATAGGGTCTTTGGGTATATATAATGAACCGTTAAATCACTCCTTTTTTGAAGAGACTTAGTGGCGTTGAGGGTTGGTTATAAACGGTAATTTGCTTATTATGAACCGTTTACTTTATATATAGAAGAGAACATAGCCCTATTACCTAAGCCATATCTGGTTCCCGAAATCACCATAGCCTCATAGTTATTATTTCACTAATGGTTAATGTGCGCAAGTTCAACTAGATTAATTAAGAGGTCATATGTTAATAGACTAACAAAATCTTAGTTGTTTTGTTAAGCATTTAGTTGGGCGATCAGTAATGTAGAGCAACCGAAAACATTAGTAAAAGGGTAACTAAAGAAGTAATAGTAGAAATACCGATGAAAAAAGCAAAGTTAATATAAGATAGGCCGGAGATATTTTGGCAGTAGGTTTCGTGACAGACAGCTGGGTGGCTTATAGTATAACCAAGGGAAGTAAAATATATTAATAGTAAATTAAACTATAATTGAATCCTTTCATTCTGCAGAAACTCATACGCTATAAATCTAGTATTAAATTCGTGTGTGTATATACCTACATTAAAAGTTATCGCACGAGGAACTGAGATAAAATTAGACTATAGCTATATTTTACATAAACCACGGGCGTCTAGATTGTAGTTTATTGAGATTGGAATATATATTAGACTAGCGCTAGTACTTTATGATATAGAATAGCAGGCGGGGAAAATATAGGAACGCTCGCGTAGCGCGATATAATACTACAAAATTATATTATAGTCAGAAGATGGAGTTGTATGGTTAATGTACTACGCAGGAAGAGGGTGTGTAAACCATTCATATTAGATAAAACAGATTATCTTAATATTAAAGTATCATATAAAGAGGCTTTTAACTATATAATACTAATTTGATAAGCTCTATAAAATATTAAGGCTACTTGGTCACTAAAATGCAGGCGATTACTAATAAAAGAGAACAAATATTGAAAGAATATAAAGACAAGAACAAAATAGATATAGATAGACTAATAGAAATATAAAAGAGGAGCAGTAAGATAAAAATGAACGATATAAAAATATAGAAAAGTAGCAAAAACAGAGCAAATTAAACATAGAGCTTAATAAATAAGAGAGTACAGTTAAGCTATGATTTAGCGATACCATAACCGCTGTACGAGTTATGTATTTCACACTAATAGAATAAAAAAGGAGAATATGAATTTAGCGAAATAATTGCCGAAAACGAAAAGCATGGTAAAATAGTATAGATATATGTAGAAATATACATAAATAACCGGCTAGCCAATACTGTTAAAAGGGCAGAATTTACTGATATTAGCTTAGAATATCCGGACATTTATTCCTAACGAAAGATAGAACTACTAAAGGATAGATGTAAATCCATGAGAGACACCCGTTAAAATAAGATAGAATATACTACTAGTCTATAGCACGCATAGAAATATTCTAGTCAGATAACTAATTATATTGGAATATGTCAGGGAGATGAAACCGGTAAGTAATAGGTCCGAACTACAAGAAAATAAGACTATTTAAATACATAACCAGATCGGTAGAACGTATCCCCGTTCTACAGTACACTGTATACATACATAATAGGAACGCGCCTAGTATTTTATTCTTATTGATAATAAATTTGAATATATATAGGAAGCGTTGTAACGACCTTAGAAGACTCCTGAAAATGCAGGTACATGAACTCGATTACATGGATTAGAGCAGTCTACATACATTACACCCCAGAGTGCAGATAGTCGGGAATATACAGAACCTAGTACATATCAGCAGTAAAACACAAGCAGAAATATATGATAGTCATACTATATAGACAGGATAATATATATTATTAATATTATTCTATTACCAAAACAGATCGAAATAGATCCATAAGAAAACCTATCTACTAATAGTAATTTATCAAAATCTCGACAATAAAATATATTTAGATGCTTAAGTAGTGAAACCCTGTAAAAGAAAATTTTTCCTAGTATCAGTCATCTGATTAACTATTAAGCCGTTAACATTTATTATAGCTAATAACCGAAAGTTGAAAATATCAAAATCAAAATACTATATTAACTACAAATACTACGAATATTAATCAGAAAATTATAAACCCGAAAATACCAACAAAATTAAGTTTCATTAAATATCTCAAATACATATCATTAATGACTATCCAACCTAACTAATTTAGAAATAAAATACACCAGAAGGCTATTATTGATTTTTAATTTAGAACTAGAACTAGATCGTTATTTTCAAGTCGTCTTAATTTTCTTTCCGGAAAATTAATCAACTTTTAATAGAAATCTATGAGAGTCTAGAAACGTTTTTTAAGTTATATAGATAATCATAAATTTATTATCAAGCTATTAGCCGTCTCCAGTAAGTAGTCCTACAGCGGCTTCCGGGGGTTAGTGTGCTTCACCTTAACGATGAATTCAAAGTCCTTTAACCTATCATACAACCGCGTTAAGAATTGAACCAAAAGAACTAATTACAACTATCGCCTTCTATCTGACTACCTTCTTAATTAGCTAGGATATTACGTCCTTTAAACCGCCCGTTCTTCGGCAGCTGAATATTTTGATAACTTTCCTCTTTATTCTAATATTAAATATAGCTAATAGCGTTTTATACATCTAAATCTCCCCCAACCCTCGACGTCTTTTAATGATTCATTTGCCAATTCGGGCTTCTTGTTAATAGCAAAGACGCGGCTGTAAATTTTATTAAAGCTAACCAGCTAGTTTCTACATCTCTACAACGCTTCCAAAGAGGCGATTGAAATATTATATATCGCGTTGATTAAACTCTAGGATATTATCAATAATATCATGCGCTGTTTAACGTTTTACCAAAGTCAGTGTATTATATATAGGAGGCAATATACTGCTTAATAATAGTAGCGGAGTTGTAAATATCCTAGAATATAGTTAGGGCTTTAAGCCCTACGTAAAGAACCTAAGATCTCTTAAACATTAAATAGATAGACACTTTGCTTTCTAGAAAGACGACTCCTAAATATATAGTGTAGGACGGAAAGTAGAATAGAATTGTACGGTTCTGCTTATGGAACTTTAGAAACTTGTAGGTTAAATAAAAATTAAGTTATTAAAAATAATAATCGCAGCTTATCCTCAACAGAAAATAAGGTCATGTATAGCGATTGAAATAGTAAACCTAGATAAGTCTAACTATACTGGTAGTATATAGCATTTAAATAATAAGTTATACCGTAGTCGCTAGAAGTATCTAAATTATATTGTCGTTCCATATAGAAGGTACCCTTCAAGATGAAATATAGCAGTAGCATATATTTATCTATAGCAATATATTCTATTATAAAATCTACTATCTTTTGTTTTTGACACCGTCTCGTGAAGCTTGATTAGGCCTAGTTATAAAAAAGGTCAAAGTTTTATCTTGGCCTAATTAACAGCCAAATTTATCATGTAGATATTTCAATACTGAATCTATGAGATATATACTTTTAAAATATTAAATTAGTATTCAATTGACCTAGTATTCCAACTAATTACGTTTCTCTGTGTCGATGTTTGTTTAACTGATTTGGCCACTTGAAAATAATTAATAAGATAATAGATTTGGGCGTTACGAATATATATTATGTCATTCAAATTTTGTTGACAACCCAAGTTCACAGCGACTTTAACTATCATAGAACTGGGAAAAGAATAAATAAGACCTAACCGTTGAAACTAATAAATTAGTTCTCTTTCTACGGACCGTTAAGCGCTTCAGTTGAATAGAATATAAATTTTGCGCTACTCGCCCTTATAGACGTATTTAAAGCCGCTAATAAAGAACGTAAATTCACGCCACAACGCGCATCAGTATATTCGGATTTTTAACGCATTTAAAGCTTTGAAGGCCTTTGAGATACGATTGGACTTTGGAGCAGGACTTTATGATTATGATTGTGGCAGTAGATAGAAGGTTAAGGGACCCCTAAGGCGATGCACACCAACCCTCCGAAGGCGGGATGGGGCTGCTTACTAGAGATGGCTACAACAATATTCCTTATTTTTATTATATATAAAGCACTTAAAATTAGAGCCAGTGAAAAAATTTTTGTTTACATTTAACCGTAAATGTGAAGGTATCTTATTGATTTAGATTGCCTATTAGAGCCTCTAATCGAGTTACTTTCTTTTTTTTTAAAAAAAAAAACTCTATCTTAAAGTTCTACAGAGTCGTATAGTCCGCTCTATAAATTTACACAACATCTCTGAGAGCAAATAAGGGGTAATAAAGATCAACTAAATAAAAGGGTTAAACCAAGCAGATAGAAACTATTATATTGAAATACTTATTTGAAAAGGAATACCAATTCCAAACCCAGTGCTATTAATGAACTTACTAGATATCAGAGCTTAAAGTGAAATAGTAACATTAATTTTAAAATATAATTATTATATTATTATAATGCTTTATTTAAATCCCCAGAATTAATTTTCCTATGTATTAAAATTGGATATTTAACAACGCTTCCGTAGAACTACTATTTTGCTATTAATTGAATTTTAGTTTTCTATTTTTTTTTACAAAATAGTAGCGGATATAAACTTTTAATAATTTTTAGTAATAGTGTTATTAAAATTATAATTTAGTAGTAGGGTCAAAGATATAGCTCTATATTTTAATATATTAAAATTTATATAGCTAGAGAATATATTTAATTAGCTTTTACCAAGTAATAAACTTAGTTATTAGGCTTAGTATAAATAAAATTCAACGCTTTAACTTTTGATAAATAGGCGGTCTGTGAAGAAAATATAGCTTTGTATAGAGTGTTGGGCGCCCTCTCTAGTCGACTAATTAGATGTTGGCGCTTATATAACTAA